GACTTGTTACTGTCGCTAAGCACACTATGTATTTATGGTGAATACATTCGAAAGCAAAGTGGTTTGGAGTCGTGCAGTTGCAGCAGACTGTAATGTAAGACTGTAATGACATTGAAGACGCAGTCACCTGTGCTTATTAACAATAATCACCAATAAGGGAAAAACATACAAGATTTTCTTTCTTGAATCGTCAGTGTTATTGCCAGTAGTACAAGCCTAAGTCTGTTTCTGTTTTGGTCGGTTGCTGCACTGTTAATGTCAGAAAACAAAAACTGCTTTCTCTGTAACCTGATGCCTCTGCCCTACATCAACATCACATGAGTCCAGATCCTGAAAGAATTAGAAGAAGTTTCAGTGGCCAGCATGTAATGACGCAAACGTATTTGAGAAGAATGCGGTCGGTCTACCTTGGTAAACCAGATAGGTGACATTCCTCTAGAAACGCCCAGCGAGGCTGCATTGTCCCCGCCTCTTGTCCGTCTGTTCTCTGGGGTTCGCTGTCATTCTCACTTCTTCTCTGTCACCACTTTAACGTCTTTCTAGGGCATGAAAAAAGGAGCCAAGTCAGAGGTGAAGAAGATGGGCCCTCTGAAAGTTGCCCACCTCAATGGCCTGTCCATATCCAGGCAGCCAGTCCACAGCGAGATTAAGGATGAGCCTGAACGAGCCTCGAATGATGAAAGGGTATGGCATCTAAAAATGTTTGAATTCGTGAGTGATTTTCTGTGTGAATGGGATGTGTTTGAACTTCGTTTAGACTCTTGGAGGACTTTTTATGGAGAGGGTACGTGTTCTTGTTCAGAGCTTTGAAACACAACTGAACTCGTAAGGATTGCTAATCTTTATGGTTGTTGCGCTAACAGTGAAAGTAAACCCAAAAAGTTGGGACACTAAATAAATGCGGAATGATTTGCATATCCCATAAACCCATATTTTATTCACAATGGTACATAGAAAACATCAAATGAGAAAAAGAAAATGTTTTGAATTTGATGGCAGCAATGCGATTCAAAAAGGCAGGGACAGGGGCATCTCCTCTTCTTCAAAAACAGTCTGTAAGTGTCTGAAGAACTGAGGAGACCAGCTGCTGGACTTTTGGGAGACGAATGTTGTCTTTTATCTTCTAGCTGCTGAACAGGTCTTCTCTGTCATATTTTTCATTGATGCTGTGATGTCAGATGTTTTTAGTTGGTGAAATATCTGGACTTACAGGCAGGCTAGATCAGCTCCTTCTACCACGAAGCCAGGCTACTGTAAAAGATGCAGTATGCATATGCCTTTCAGCATTCATGCTGGCTTTCTAGAAATATTCAAGATGCCATTTTTATAGGCACTAATGCAGCTACTTGTCATCAACAAGCATGTCTGGAGGACATGTGAAAAATAGACTTTGCATTTCCAATTAGTCTGTGAAAAGGAGCTTTGTCCCAGAACAGACAGTGGTGGTTGTGGATTATGATTACACATCACTTCTTTGAATTTGTGGGAGACACGGTGAACTCTGTTCAGGCAAAAATTTCTGGATGTGTTCCTGAGCCCATGCAGCACCACACGAGTGTAACCGCAGATTAGACATCCAGTATTGATTTTACAGTCATTGTTGTGACCTGTTTGTTAAAAGAATGCATTTTCTCAGTTTAAGCATTTGATATATTTTCACTTCCATGCAAAATATCTTCTTTGACAGCATTGTCCATGACAGTGACATATTTTCCGTTTGCATTTGTCAGTGCAAAGTGTTGGAGCAGCACATGGAGAAGGGTGAAGTGTTGAAGGAGTACGAGAGCATCCCAAAACGTCCGAGAGGGGAGTACACGATCGCCCAGCTGCCAGAAAGCGGAGACAGAAACCGCTTCCAAGACGTCCTGCCTTATGACGATACCCGAGTGGAGCTGGTTCCCACTAAAGAGAACAACACGGGCTACATCAATGCATCACACATTAGAGTAAGTTGTTTTGGGGATGTATGTACATACATTTGCAAACCAGATAACTAGAAATACTGTGCAAATAGTTTTCTGCGACTCTTAAATTTCAGTCGTGCTTAATGGTTTGTGGTAAGGCAGCGTGTTAGTCACCTTTACTTCCTCTTTCTGGAGTTTCAGGCATGACAACATAACATCTTCCATAGATGAATAATATTTTCTGCTGTACTGGCTCTCCCTCTTTAAAAGAAATGACTGAGAATGCTCCTTATGTCTTATTTCTCATTAGATGACAGTAGGTGGGCAGGAGTGGAATTACATTGCCTCGCAGGGTCCCATGTCGCACACGTGTCAGGATTTCTGGCAGATGGTGTGGGAACAGGGTGTCTCCATCATTGCCATGGTCACTGCCGAAGAGGTACGTTGATTTAATTTTAAACCCTTTCATATTTTTTTCCCTCCTTGTCTCTATGCGCACTTACATATGCGCATCATCTCCTTTGTTCAGGAGAGCGGTCGAGAAAAGAGCTTTAGATACTGGCCCCGACTTGGCTCCCGGCACAACACAGTGACGTACGGGCGCTTCAAGATCACCACGCGGTTCCGCACAGAGTCCGGCTGCTACGCCACCACTGGGCTAAAGATCAAACACCTCCTGACGCAACAAGAGAGGACTGTCTGGCACCTGCAGTATACAGACTGGCCTGACCACGGCTGTCCCGAGGACTTCAAAGGCTTCCTCAGTGAGTGGATCAGTATCAGTTTATAATCAGATCTTTACCTTTTTGAGCCTAATAACCTCTGCTACATTCAGGTTTCCAGAAATGTAGTTAAATATAAAGTTTGCGTTCTCATCTTTCTCCAGCCTACTTGGAGGAGATCCAGTCTGTGAGAAGACACACAAATAGCATCAGTGACCCAAAGAACTCCAACCAGCCTGTGCTGGTGCACTGCAGCGCAGGAGTGGGTCGGACTGGAGTTGTCATCCTGTCTGAGATCATGATAGCGTGTCTAGAGCACAATGAGGTAATTTTCTTACCCTAATGAAGGTTTTTTTTGTTTTGTTTGGTTTTTTTAAGTGATTTTTTTTGGGGGGGTTTCTGTGTATTATCTTTGTATTATCAAAAATGAATATTTTCTCTTTCAGCCATTGGATGTTCCCAAGCACCTGTTGGCGCTACGCAATCAGAGGATGCTGATGGTTCAGACCTTGTCCCAGTACACCTTCGTGTACAGGGTCCTCATCCAGTACCTCCGCAACTCCCGGCTGATCTGACCACGGGCATCAGCACAGATGATTGCAGTGGATTTTGCTCCACAGTTGTGCCAAACTGCAGTGATGCAGATGTTTGAATCTGTTCTGAAAGGTGGCTGCTTACATTCTGTTCTGGCCGTGTATTAGAGCCGGCAAGCCGGGAGGTGCCGATTGTTGAGATGTGCAAGACGCTGTGCCACATGAAGGGGAACAAAGACTTGTGACCTGTCTCTAAACAGTATTATATATTATTTCTTACATATATTGGCTACTTTATAAAGCCCAGCACTTTCAGAGTACCATGCTGTACATAAAGAACCAATATTAAGCTGCATTAAATTCTTTTAGATATCTATCAAAAATCATTGGTTGATTTTTAACTTGCCTAAGAACACTTTTATTGTCAGTATGTTTTGAATTGCTGTTGCTTTATTAATTCCGATAATGAAGGATTTATTTTTTTTAAGTTTGGAAAAGCTTGGAAAATGTGTTTGATATGAAATCCATGGATTTAAACTTTATTTAGTGACCTCTGCTGGTGCAGACAGAAGGATGACAATTCATGCAATAAACACAGATATGGCTGTGTGATTTAGTGTAGTCATCTGTATTATTAATAGTACTTTTTTTTTTTTAAAGACGCCATACCTGCCCAATATTTGTTTACTGAACCAATACACCTGCTGAAAGAGGCATGGGAAGTAATGGTGAAAAAAGAAAACACACACTGGACTGATCAAAGTAGAAATTTGCTGCATGGGTTTAAAAAGCTAAAATAAATGCTGGGTTTGGAGTAAAATTGGAAAATCTTTTTTTTTAATACATTCGTCTGTTTTTATCTTAAACTGAAGATGAAGTGTTACGTTTCTGCGCTGTAATGCTGGCGGGCCTCCGTAGCTTGGTAAAATATGAAGTAGTGCAGTGATGCCTTCAGAAACACGAGGGTTGATATCATGACAGCAGCGTCTTTGTTTTAATGAAAGGCAAAAAAACAAGGAGGTGGTGTTGCAACAGTGTTACCATAAGAGTGCATGCAGTGTGTTGAGTTTTGCATCACCTCTGTTGGCCATGGCCATGGTGCTCGGTTTGAAGTGCAAACTTGTATGGATGGTGTATCTCTAGTTTCAGTATTCTGGCTGCCACACTTGTCCCGACTCCAATGAGAAATGTCACTCTGTAGATACACTTCCTGCTTCCACAAATGGCTGCCAGACTGTTAATGAACACTTGTGCAGTCATATTAAACCAGAGTTGGATTTAGCTGCTCTGCTGCAGCTGTGAGTTGCATCCAGATCCATTTTTTTCCCTGTGCAGAACAAAATTGTTCTGGATGCCAAAGTAATACTAGTTTTACTGACCTGATGTTTGGGGGATTTTTTGCATCAAAGGAACATGTTACTTAACAGGAGGGGGTGAAATGTTGCTGAGATTTATTAAGTGGAACTTTTTTGGGGGGTGGGGGATGACCATAATTTCCTTCTGATTGTTTGGTTCTGGCAGAAAGACGGAGTCTTAGTTTGGAGACTGAAAATATGATGTAAGCGTTTTGTCCATGTACAGGTTGTTCATAATGTACACAATGTAAAAGTCTGCTTTGATGAATATTGGTTGTTGTACAAACTGTATCTATTGAACTGAACTTGGTATGCCATTGGACAAAAACAAAAAAAGTGTAAAAATTATTTTCAGCCAAGAATAAAAACTTGGAAATAAATTGTCGTCTGTAGCTTCAATTTATGTGAGTCCAGGCTGCCACCTTGTGGTAGAAATGTGCTATACCACTTCTGCTGTTTTTTAATCATTTCAATACAACATGATTGTAGAATTGAAAGAGGTTTATTAATTAAAAACAACAAGAAAAGGCTTCTCACCATTATATAAATAACTATTACAGGATCCTGGAAGGGGAAAAATAAAAACAGTCTCCTGTGCTTAAAGGGGCATACTGAAGTATCAATCAATGGAACTACAGTGTAGTTGTCCTCATTGTAATCAGGTTATTCAGATAGCAGTGGTTTCAGTCATCAGAGTCCATGCAGCATAGGGAGCTATTAATTTATAAAGGTCACATTTAAAACGCAGTCATCATTTTAAAAATCCTTCAATCCATCTGCCTCTTAATATTCCAGATGTGCAAATTTACAGTAATATGCACAAGAGGCACGACATTACATTTTGTTCTGAAGCATGGATATGGTATATGTGCTGAGCAATGTTAAAGATACAGGCTGTGTCCAACTACTGCAACACTAAATACTTAACACCTGAACGCTGCAGAATGTGTTTTTGTTTTTGTAGTATATAAAAGGATCTCAGCTGGATTTATCATTTAAAGTCACTTTGCCAGTGTTTAGAATGCAGTCTTCATTTGGAGTGTAACTACAATATTATGGCCACAGTGTTTGTGTTTGCCACTTTTGTATGAGTGAAAACTCATGTACTGAGTGCTACTTTCACTATAAAAACACTGATGACAATAGTGAGGGGGGGGGGAACGATGAGCACAGATAAAAGCTTAAGGTTTTCCACCCAATACTGACAACCATCCATCAGCTTTTCATCCATAAAAACCAAACAAACAGTTGAGGTCATGTGAAAAACTACGTCTAGTGTCGCAAGAAAACAAAAACAACAACAAAACCCAGCAAAGGACAATGAGTGGAAGCTAATACTAGTACCGTCCTCGCTTCCCTCCGTGCCCACTGTGTCCTCCGTAATCTCCGTGTCTGCCGTGTCCTCCTTGATTCCACCCACCTCCTCTCCAACCACCTCCACCCCCTCCTCTTCCTCCTCCTCCTCCCCATCCACCTCCACCACCTCGTCCTCCTTGTCCCCAGGCTCCTCCACCTCGTCCCCCACCACCACCGCCACGTCCTCCCCAGCCACCACCTCCGCCATCTTGTCTTTTCTGCCAGGGGGGCATCTCAGGAGGCGGGGCTTCGATCTCTGAGGGACGTCCTCCTCGATCTGGTACTCTTCCCATCAAGATCTGCAAAGACAGGTTAAACAGAACGTCTATGAAGAAAACGTCCAAATCGGCCCGACTATTCTGACCGTGGGAAACGTTTGCTGCACCTTGTTGACGGCACAAGCGGTCTTCTCCCTGCTCGAGCCGCTGCTGGTCTTCACCACATTGCAGAGATCTTCTCTGGCAGCCAGCAGCGCCGCTATGTCCACAAAGGACTGAGGCCTCAGAGAGTGTCTCTTAGGCTGGTAGGCTCCTGCCATGCTGTCCACCTTCACCTAAAACACAACACAACTATCTGAATGCTTCCCGCTATTCGCCAAATAACCACAAAACATTCTTCAAACAAGCAGACGTTAGTTTGAAGTGTGACTGTAAACATACCTTGGCTCTGTCTGACCACCCAAATGACTGAACAGTGACGTCGAGCCGTTTGATCAGCATCCTGCGGCGACATTCGTACTCAGACGATAGAGTTGCGTTGATGCTTTGTAATTTTTCCTGCAAGCATTAAAAAGAGACCTGTAACAACAATACAACCAGATACATACACAGTACAGTGTAGCTACTAGCCGATCATATACATACCCACTGTTCACTACCGAGTGATTTCTTCAGCACTGGGTTTCCAACAGAGGCACCAGGAAGGGTTTTAAGCAAGTTTTCAACCTGTTAAACAAACAACAACAACAAAACGATCAAAGAGAGACAGTGATGTAAAAATACAATGATTAATGTATCACACACAATTTCCTCCTAACTTGCTATCTCAAGTATTGACAGCTAATGAAGCAATGCAGGAAGAAAATGTGTCGATGTCTGTCTGTGCCACCTAATAATAATGAGCAGAGAGTGCTACACATTTAAATTACACAGCCAAGAGGTTTTTTTTATGTGTTACTCTGATTATTTTGGAATGGGTGGGACGGTAGTTGCCTCACAGCAAGAAGGTCCTGGGTTCGACCACACCATCTCCCCAAGGCCTTTCTATGTGGAGTTTGCATGTTCTCACTGTGTCCGAGTGGGTTCTTATCTACAGCTTATAGAATACTTTTTTTAAGATTGCATCATGCCTTGTGTTAAAGAAGGAGGAGCAGATCTTTGTTCATTTTCTTTTTTTGTTTGATCGTTTTGCAATTACCGTAAAAGAATTGCGCACACTGCTACTACTATACATACATTTTGATCAGTAAATTGAGCCTTATTCTTGCTCATCCTAACTGAAATCACGTGCAGTTTAAACAGCCTCACCTTATTTTGAAGTTGAGAGAAAACTCCTGCGGCCTCCTGTCCCTTTGGCACAGGTAGTTTCAGAGTTTCACAGATTGCTGTGAGCTCCTGGTTCACTGGACTCTGGCCTTGTTTATCAGAGACTTGCCTGCTTCTCACAATCTGGGCGGCCTGAAGCTCAGAGCTTAAAAACACTGAAAAACAGACACAAAAATCTAATCTTCCTACTTACTTACAGTTTACAGCCCACAGAGTGGATTACACAGAATGATACATACAGACAAACTTGAGATGGTCTTTTGTTTTCTGCCCAGTGCCCTTGAGAATCCCTGAAACTTCACAGGGGCAGTGCAGCTCCCTCAGCAGACCACTCATCTCCAGCTGGAGGCTGTCCATATCGTCTTGGAGGAGAAGAGCAAACAAAACAGATGTGAGCGCAAAGATTAGACACTGTTTTTTAGATCAGATTAAGGTGAGAATGGATGCTGCTCACCTGGGCCTGAGGTGATGCTCTCCTCCAGGTCACACAGGGGCTTTAACCTGGCTGACAGCCACTTGCAGAGATCCACATATTCAAGCGACTGCAGGCCTCCTTCCGCGGCTCTGAGCAGCGCCTTCTCCTCAAGCAGAGGGCCGTCATAGCTACGGACCAGCACACACCACCAAAAGTCAAACACATCCAGGAGTTAGACGGGGGTCTTGGCTGCTTTATTTTGATTGAAAACACGCCGCAGGATGTGGAAGCTAAACAGTTATGCTAGCAGTGACTTCGCTTACCCAAGCTGCTCTAACGAGTCCAAAATGTCACACTCCATCGCTGAAGCCGCGAGCTGTTTCACGCGCGTGTATCAACTAAAAACATGACAGCACAGGGGGCTTTAGCATCCATTCATTCCGTTATCGTGGATATCCGCCTCCACTGTGGTCCGACCAAGACAATGACCCGGAATGAAACGGGCGGATTTCAGAACTACGTTCCGCAACTTTGGTTCCGCCTAGGTTCCGCCAGTTTTAGCAAAACTGTAAGTAAAGCGTGTCTATTAAAACAATAAACTTTGTGCATTGATGTCGGAAAATAGATGACAAATACAAATGCTAACATCTAATCAGCCAATTATATGGCAGCAGCTCATTTAGGCATTTAGACCTATGACCAAATTTCGCATCAGAATGGAAGAGAAAGGTCAATTAAGGGACTTTGAACCCATGTCTAGAGTTTACAGGGAATGGTCCGAAAAGATTGTAGCTATAGATAAATGGCTCCAATCTTAACCTGGGGGTTGTCTTGTTTGTTTTCTTGTTCTTTCTTTTTTTTCACAAAAATTGGTTCTTTTATGTGCGTGTAACCTTTAAGTTTAGCTCGAATCTGTACTTTTGTGTGTAAAGCTCTATGTCCAGGCCCGGATGCAGGGGAAATGGACGAGACTGGTTCGACCCACCATCCAGTTCTTCCTGGTGTCGTTCTGTATGTGGGATACACGCGCGTCTCTGACTACAAACACCACCCGGGCGACGTCCTGGTGGGACTGCTGCAGGGCCCTCTCATCGCTGTGCTCACAATGAGTGCATTTCTGAGTCACTTTTATTGATGTTTATTATTAAAGCTGAGGATATTTATCCAATTATATAAGGTGAACACTTAAATCCTCTATTTTAAAGTGTAGATAAACATATGAAAGCATCTATAATGGGGCCATCAGCATCAGAACTGAACTGTCAGCCGACTGGTATGATGAAAGTGATGACGGCTGGATGCACCAAAGGAAGCAGCCAACATCATGGAGGCAGTGTGATGCTCTAGGGAATGTTCTGCTGGGAAACTTTGTCCTGACTTCCATGTGGGTGCTACCCCCCACCTAATGTTCTAGACCACTAACAACCACTTATGACAACTGCTTTTCCTGATAGTGGAAACCTTATTCTGCAGGATAATGATGAGTCCGTAATCCTATCAACATCACTGTTAATTATACTACTGCCCATCTAAGTGAGAATAATTCTTTTTAAATCTTAGCAAGTTCTAAAGATTTAAAAAAAAAAAAGAAAAAAAAATCAGGAATCTTTTTGAAGACAACACGATGTTAAAAGGCCCTCTATATAGACAGAAAATTCTGCCTTCATGGCTTCTGAGAAACAGCTCACATTTCTATTGCATACCATTACCGGCAGACGTTGCTGTGAATTTTGTAAGAATTTAGCACATTGGATCTCTCAGCTGTTGATAAAGTCTTTTCTGCAGCGTCCTTTGCAACCACTGGCATCGACTCAAAGTAGAACAGCTACTCCTCTGTATCGAAAAGAGCCAGTTAACGTGGTTCAGACATCTGATTAGGATGCCTCCTGGCCATGTCCCATTGGGAGGAGATCCAGGACATGCTTGAGAGATTATATCTTTCAACTTGCTTGGGAATGCTTCAGTGTCCTCCTGGAAGACTTGGGGAAGATGTCTGCAGAGAGTGAGGTCTGGACATTTCTGCTTTGACTGCTGACCCATCAACACTGCCCCAGATAAGTGACAGAAGACAGATGAATCGATGGCTAGATGGGTTTTGGGCTTGAACTAGTTCTACATTTTGTGGTCCCACCTCACAACGTATAGAACCTAAAGGATCTGTTGCTGAAGTCTTGGTTGTCAATCTTCAGAGGTCCCCACCCATTTAATGTTGCGGTTCACTAAATGTATGTCTTCTTATATTTTGTCTTTCTCTATGCAACATTGTATATGTTGGCTGTGATCAAGAAATCAATCAAGCGCAGGCAAAAAGATTAAAACTCACCATTTTATTATGATAATGTTATTTGATATGTCAAATTACAAGTGTATGATGTAACATAAAAACAGTTACAAACATATGTATGCATATTTACATTATATTTATGAAAAGTAACAAGCTACATCTGTATAAAGAAAATACAACTATGACATGAGTTATTGGTACTATAAATTTTACAACAGATACTTGGTATTCTCGAACCATGATAATACCTAGACGTGTAGAAACCAATAAAACCAGAACAAGAGACGTTAAGATGGAAACTAGGATGGACGTGAGGCACTTTTTTGAGGTTGTCAGGATGTGAAAGCAGATGGCACTAAAGGGAAACCAAAAAAAAAAAAAAAAAAAAAGATGCACAGGAAAAAGAAATGTGCACAAATAGAGAAAGTGAAAGAACGAAAAGTAAGAAAACAGGCAGTGTTTTACAGAATAGTTAAGAATAGTACCATTTATACTGCAAGTTTCAAAACACAAATGTCTTCCACTATTTAGAACTAATCACGTAAATGTTACATCGAGCGCTGTAAGATGAAAAAAAGCTTACGTATAGTATCATCAGTGCACCAAAGCATCGGAGAATTGAAACATAACCACTCAACTGCTGTAAAAAGTAACCGTTTTTAAAACAATACACTGAAGAGAAACAGGTTTATATAGCTTTTTTTTCATCTTTCTTAATCTACACAATGTCAAGAATGTACACTTGTATGCATTCCCAAAGATATGCACAGTTTCCAAGATTGAAAGAGGATAAAAGACTAGCAGCAAAGTGGTTAAAACTGAAGTCTTTATATAATGCAGGTCAAAAAAATATATATATATTAAAGCGGACAGACACATGTTGCATATATAATACAGTACATGACAGGAAGTTGCACTGTGCTGGTTAATGCAGAATGAGAAGTGTTATTTCAGCATTCTCTACACTTTGTATAAATGCACGTCCTACATTTTGCTTCTCAGCCAGCAAGTTTTAATCAGGTTCATCAAACCTTGGTTCAGCTTGCAATAATGCAGGGTAATCAGATTACAATGGGAGAAAAAGACAACCAACCAAACATTTGGTTACACACACACCAACGCACATGCACACCGCCAACCTACCTGGAATCTAGCACGCACACACATACAAACACACAGCCGTGGGCACAATATAGTAACACTCTCGCACCCACACACATGCACAAGTGTCCACTTCATCACACAGAGCAATCAAACATTGCAAAACTGACCGTTGTCGTTATATGCTGTTGGAGAATTAAGGTTTAACAGTCGTTCATAGCTGATTTTCTCTGTCAACACAATAAAATTAGTGATTGTATCTAGCAGCTTTATACGTATGTGTTTTTTTTTTAAATTTTATTTATATATATATATATATATATATAATATATATATATATATATATATATATATATATATATATCTCAAACTTAAAAAACAAGTGGACTGCCACTACTGTACCGTGTTAGCACTATCCTTCCTTCTACCATACAAAACTAGAGAGGAACTCTATTAGAAACTCAATAGTCATTTCCATCACAAACGCCCTCTACTTTTCAATGTGAAATAATACTAAAAGGTGACCTATGTACAAATGCTGTCATTTCAAGCTACGGTATATGCTGACAGCAACGATAAATACAACTCTATCTTTAAAATTTCAAAGACAAAAAAAAAGAAGAAACGAAAAAACAAAAAACTGGGATTATTATCAGTACTTAAATATAGTGTTACATATTTACAGGTGTTTGGAGTTTGGTACCAGGGGTTTGTCGTCTACCTATATATAGTATTTAAAATGTCCTGTCTAGTCACTGACTCAGTCCGCCAAGAGGTCAATGCGTTTCCCCACATTCGAAGGTTTGCATAGAAAGTAAAGGGAGCATTGGTTAGGGAGGAATCTGGAAGATAAATTGTTCTCTTGTACTACTAAGTGAGGTGTGGTTTCTCTCTTCTTTTTTTTTTTTTTTTTTTTTTTCCTTTTTTGAGTGACAGGAGGTGGGAAAACATGCATATCTGATAAGAACAGCATTTGGATGTTGTACCAAATTTGCTATTTTAAAAAAAAAAAACCCCACTGAGGTGGATTACACTTTGCAGTTAGGGAGCATTTGGGTTATTGCAGCCAGATGTCCAAAATAAGCTGTTCTTGTAGTGACTTTTATTCAAAGTTCAATTTTGAATATTCTGTTGGGTCAGACTGCCAAACAGTCCATGTAGATACTGTTTCCCAAAGGGTTTTAAATTTGGACATTTGGGTGAGGAGTGCAGGATAGTGTCTTTCTTGCCAAGAGTTAGAGCAGAAGATTATCATCATTCACATCTGTTTACAAAATATGAAGTGTAGTTAAGACTGAAACGGAGGCAAACATAATCCATCTCCTGAGGTTACCAATTTACAGGTCATACCATGTTTGTGCAGTGGACTACAGATGTCGACATGCTGCCCTCGTCAACCGATATTGGCCTACCAGGAAATCCAATTGGACAATATTTCTGGTCATTAATTTTGGCTATAGCCCTGTCCATATATAAAGTGATTTTCGCTTGCCACCTCTCGCTTTGCAGCGGACAGCTGCTAGCAGACTTTTCAGACACTGGTTGCATAGGAAACCTTATTTCCTGCCCCATCTTTTGTCAGTCAGCAGTATCCCTTGCCATCCCATTGGTAGTTGTTTCAAATTGTTGCTTCTAGCCATTTTGCACCGCTAACTGTTATTCCATCTGTCATCACTACAAGACTCCGAATTTCACTGACATTCCATAATCCCTGGTCTCCACGCCGCCTTTTTTTCTTCTTCTTGTGAGTATTAAAAACAAAACAAAAAAAACCCCAATGTGATGAAGAAGATTTTTAACAGTCTTATTTAGGGTGAAGATTTCTTTGTTTCCCTGGACAAAGACGGAAATAAATAACAACAAAAAACACATTAAAATGTGGAAAAATATCATGCTGGCGTTGGCCAATTTATTTTTAAACATCCGTGCATCCATATGTAATTCATTTTTTTAAAAATGCGCTTTTTGATTACTTTTTTTTTTTTTAATTTAAAGGGAAAAGGGATTCATGCAATTTAGAGATATCGGTTAGCTGCTTCCACCTGCTTTCGGTCTTCATATTAACAGAACGAGCGTCACTCTTCTCAATCTAACTTGGCAAGAAAGCCGATGAGTGCATT